TCTCTTTGAATAAATTGATTCCTTATCAACAATCTGAGAATTCTCAAAATTAAAATGGTGACCACTGAGAACATGGTGATGAACCAACGCACTCTTGTTTTCATCTCTAGATTGACAATCACGTTTATGTTGCTTGATCCTAGCATCAAAATACTGACTGGTAGTGCCTATGTAGGTTTTTTCGCAATTATTGCAAGGAATCTTATAAATAACATTAGATTGTAAACCTTTAGGAACCAGATCCTTAGTCCTTGAAAAACAGGTGGATAAAGGCAAAGAGTTACATTTAGCAAACCTAACCGTGTCAAACCTCAGAACTGAAACAAGTTTATCAGTCAACCTGGGGACGAAGGGAATCTTAACAAACTGGGTCCGGGGGCCAGGGAGGCTAGATATGTCGTGTTGGTCGTCACCTTCAGAAGGTTGACTAATATAACGATGGTAAGTACCATTATGATAAAGAATTCTATTAACTAGACCTATCGGATACCCGTTGTTGACGAATATATCCCGGAGCTTTTTTAGGTTAGAGTCAAGAAAGCGGACATCAGAGATGGATCTGACACGATTAACCATAGCAACCACAGTGTTCAGTTCAAACCATCCTCTCAATCAGAAACTTTCTTGGCATTTTGTTAACACTAACAATTTTACAAGATTCTTTAGACTTAATACTAATGGTTTAATGCAATAAATAGCAAAAATTTGTTTTAATTTAGATTGAAAAAAAAAATAAATAAATACGAAAAGGTGCGTCTACGCACCTTTGGCCGTTAATGGGTTAATAGAATATCTTAGCATTCTGTAGATGTACGATTGGAAAACGGAGAATTTATGATTTGGGTTAGTTAATACTAATAACGTTCTAATAATATTTTCAAAAGACAGGATAACCCTGATAATCATAATTTCAATTCGATAGATGGAGATAATGAATTAAAATTAAAATATATTACTAATTTAACCAATATACATTTCAATAATAACGGGATATAACTTACTAAACAAAGGTCATAAATTTGCCTTAAAACCATTAACGAATTTACATCTAAACGCCATAGAAATAGATTGTATTATCAATAAATTACCTTATTATAATGATATCAAAAATGAAATAATTCCTATTTTAAAAAAGAGTGAAAAACTAAATAATAATTATCCTAAACATCCTTCAGTACAAATAAAGACTATAAAATCTATAAAACAAAAACTTGAAAATACACTCAGGTGCAAAAAAAACGCAACAAGCTAATATTTGGTAAAGTTTGAAATTTGTCATCAAACTGTAGATAAAAATGTCTAATATCATGTTCAATATCCAGCCTTTTCTTAAATGCTGGTCATATAGTCGGTATACATGGTTAATTGAAACGTCGTTCTAGGATCCTAATTTTAAAACACTCTGTGGAATAATTTAGTGTATAAATGGTTTCAAAATCAAAATTTTTGTTAAGAACCCTCACATTCCCTACATTTTGTTTTTTTGGTTTCATGTGTCTAAGTGCATTCGTTCATTTTTAAGAGCGAAATGAATTTGTCACTAACAATTTACTTAAGATACGTTACTTTTTAATAAGGTGGCTTTGCTCATTGTTATTCTAATGACAGTAATGACAGTTGGACAGTGATTTTTTGTACAGAAGATTAGTACCATGATTTTAAGTGCTGAAAATTGCGTTAAAGCTGTTGCTCTTGTTGAAGATGGGCGTAATTATGAATATGTTGCAAGAATTCTTCATGCTCATCGCTCCACTATTAAAAGAGTGGTAGAACATTTTACACAAACTGGAAGAAATAACAGAAGGGCAGGAAGCGGTAGAAAACGAAATACCAATGCTGTTGATGACAGATTTATACGTGTTATAGCTTTGCGGAATCGTCATTTAACGTCAGTACAGACGAAAAATGAACGTCCACAGATCCGAGGTACAAATGTGAGTGCGCGGACAATTCGCCTAAGACTAAAGGAATCTGGGTTGAAAGCTTGCAGACCAGCAGTTGGACCCAAATTGCTTCCGCGCCACCAATAATATTATGATCTCATTTGATGTAACTAATCTTTACACAAATGTTGATACTGATTTTACTATTAATATTATTTATAAATTATTTGAGGAACATTATAAAGACACAAATATATGTAGCTTCTGATATCACATCACTTGTCAAATTTAACGAAAAATTTTATAAACTTGAAATTGGTTTACCTATGGGTCTATCTATATCTGGATTTATCGCCGATATGTATCTAGATTATATGGAGAATAATTATATTATAAACAAGCTTAATCCTTATTCTAACAACATCAAAAAATGGATTAGATATGTGGATGATGTTCTTTGTCTATGGGAAGGTACCAACGAAGATCTTATAGCAATGTTAAAATATATAAACAATATTCATGAGAAGTTGAAATTCACTTTAGAAATTAAAAAAGATAGAAAAATCAATTTTCTTGACTTAACTATAAATAGAAACGACCTAGACCTAAATTTTGATATACAGGGTGTCAGATAAAAAACGCCCCGAGCTATAACTCTGTCATTTACATTCCGATTTTCATGGGCGAAGTATCAAATGAAAAGGTTTGATGAATACTATGATTTATGCTAGAAATAATTTTTTTCCAATGCCATCTTCAATTTCAGGCGATTATCAACTTTTGATAATCGTTTTTCAAATTGCTGCGTATATTTTTCTTCGGGTCATTGGATAGAGTTTGTTTTGCGGAATCCATTCATGTACAATACATCCATTTTAAATGTAATATTAGCAGAAAAAAGACACCTGTATATACAGGTTGTCACAAAAGAATGCCGCAAGCTCTAACTCTGTCATTTACATTCCGATTTTCATGAGCGAGGTATCAAATGAAAAGGTCTGAAGAATACTGTGATTACAAAGATGCTACAAAGAAACCTTTTCCAACGCCATCTTCAATTTCAGGCGATTATAAACTTTTCATTTTCAAATTGCTCGGTATGTTTTTCATCACGTTGTTGGATAGAGATTTTTTTTTCTGAATCCATTAATGTATAATACATCATCATTAATTGTAATTGTAGTAGAAAAAAACAAAAAAAATAGTTTCCGAACATTCTCTTAATGTCATTTGTGTTACACTGTAGTATGCCATGGGAAAAAATAATCATTTACAACTGCTTCAGGCATTGAAATATCATTTAATGACTGTTATCAGTTTTACGCGTTATTTTTTTCTATGGCACACTACAGTATTACAGAAGTGACTAAGACAATGTTCGGAAAATGCTTTAATTGTTTTTCTCTGCTAAAATTACAATTAATGTTAATGTATTGTACAGCAATGGGTTCAGAAAAAAATCTCTATCCAATAACGTGAAGAAAAACATACCGAGGAATTTGAAAATCAAAAGTTGATAATTGCTTGAAATTGAAGATGGCATTGGAAAAAGTTTATTTGTAGCATGAATCATAGTATTCATCAAACCATTTCATTTGATACCTCGCTCATAAAAATCGAAAAGTAAATGACAGAGTTACAGCTTGGGGCATTCATGTGTGACAACCTGTATATACAGAGTGTCTTTTCTCTGCTAAAATTACATTCAAAATGGATGTATTGTACATTAATGGATTCAGAAAAACAATCTCTATCCAATGATGTGAAGAAAAATATATGGAGCAATTTGAAAAACAAAAGCTAATAATCGCTTCAAATTGGACATTTTCTTGGAAAAAATTTATTTGTAAATTGAATTATAGTATTCATCAAACCATTTCATTTGATACCTCATTATACTCTACTCATTATACAACATTAAACCTTTATACTCATATTTAAAATTCTAGTTTTTAACATATCTGTGAAACTTGTTTTATTCTTATGTGTTTGCTTCATTTTAACCTGTAGTGTCGTTCAGTGTTGTCCACTTTACATCTTCACTCTTCCACAGTTGAAGGAGTGTAAGGGAGAAGTGGTTGTTAACGAGTTGTAATACGAGGCTAACTTTTTGTGTTAAAAAATTAATAAACATTAGAAAAGTAGTGAAAACGAGTCGGGAATGTCGTCAATAAAACAAATGAATTTACAATTGCAAATATATTTTGTTAATTTAAGTGTTGGGTTTTAAATTTTGTGTACATCTTAAGAAGACACGGGAAAATCATAAGTAGTACTGGAAAGCCTTTGGCTTCTTTCATCTCCAGTGGCCCTGTCCTTCATTTCTTATTCCTTACATCCAAGTCTTCACCAGGCTTACACGACGTGTCCATACCATATCTGTTGTCTGATCTTTGTGCATCTTCTGATCTCTTTATTAGGGATATGCTCTAGGTGTGAAATCAACTACTAAAACCAAAGGTGTCCATCTATTCCAGTACGAGTAGAGATCCAAATCTTTAAAACTTTTAGAAAGGTCTGATACATTGCGCCGGTGATTGGACATAACAAGAAGGTAGATTGTAAAAGTAAAATGGAAATAGAGTTTCGAGAATGCGAGGAAATAGTGGAACATGATTTGAAGCAAATATTGCAGAAAAAGAGGTCAGTTTTATTGCTTATAATTGTGAATTAGAAGAATTTAGAACTACATTTATTATTGATTCAGTAAGCAATGGTGCAACACATGGTAAACGAAAGAATGGAAAGATATTTAAAGGATAGAACTAGTAGAACTAGAATTGAACAGAAAAATAGAAATTAAAATTGCTAATGTTGATGTATTGGAGGCTAGGAAGACTGGAATATAGAAGGGAAGAAGTGGTAGTGGTTGGATATATGTGAAGGTTTTGTTAGTAAATGTAATAAAACATAGAGAAAAGTTGGGNTACGCGGCTCGAAGACCACCCAAATCCCCTCCTAGCGGGATTAACGGATTACGACGTCGAACACCTTCGCCATAAACGGCCAAGGCTGCTTCTCGTCTGACGATCCGGGAACCCGACTGTCCTTTCCAAATCCACTTCCGATATCGCTAATTTAGCGAATATTAACTAATATATTTTCCGTCTGTTTTAGATCCGATGAAGAGGGTTAAGAAAGATTCCAGGAACCTCAAGAGGCCCGTCAAGTTCACCGTACGTACAACAAACAAACCAACTTATCAACTCACGAAGAACAAGAAACATGGACAATAGTAAATATACCGAGCGAGGCCAAAGCAATAGATACAAGATGGATATTTACTACAAAGAAAGACGGTACAAAAAAGGCACGGCTAGTTGGCAATTAGGTTTTCAACTCAAAAATGAGGAATGGAATTCAATATACGTCCCAGTATCCAGGATAAGATCAACGATAAGAATGTTTATGGTTCATGCGATTAATAATAATTGGCTAATAAAACAATTAGAGCATTTTTAAGTGGTAAACTAACTGACAATGTATTTATAAAGATACCAGAAGGAATAAACAAGGAAAAAGGAAATGTATTGAACAAGGGTATTATATGGACTTAAAGAGGCACCAAAGTGTTGGGATGAACAATTTGATCAATGGATTCAAAAGATCAAAGTATGATTTGTGTCTACACACAAAGAAAGATGTGTACACAAGAAACAATAGAAAGGTTAAAACACGAATTTAAGGCAAAACATGTAGGAGAATTAAATAAGTTTTTGGGAATGGAAATAATAAGGGAAGAAAATACTTTGAGAAGAATATATTGATAAAATTTTGAAGAGATTTAATACAACAGACCGCAAGGTTAAGAAAACGCCAATGGAAGTAAGATATCAATTTGAGGAACAAGGAAGGACAACCTTATAGAGAACTATTTTAAGTTGATTATAGTATATAGCAACCATTTCAACAACCGACACAAAAACTTTAAAAACTCCCAAAATGTCGTAATAATTACCAAAATTACCCTCGTGATGTTTTCACTCCACTCGTCTCAAAATATATAAAAACAAATCAAATGTTAAACCGATCATCTGCGACCTCTCATAAGGAATAGGAAAAGTAAAAGGAGTAGGAATCTCGAATTTATTCAACAGTTCATATATATATATTTATATATATATGAACATATTTTTAATTCAAATAGAAGCTGTTCTAACGTGTACCGTTTTTGATTAGTAGCGTCTACTAATTACGATGTTTTAACTCCAGGTCATTTTCTACTTGTAACTTTTACGAAGAATGGTTGAAGATTTCTGGAAAAATTGTCAGAAATTTTAAACAATTGTTCCCTTCTGCAAGTGACTGATCTTGTTGGTTTCTTTTGTTTTATTTATGGTAATTTTGTATTTATTTTGTTCCTCCCATCTATAGATGCCGTTACCCCATTTACTTATTTTTTATTAATTAATTTAATTTTTCGTGTCGATTCAAATTTTAATGTTTAATCATAATTTTTTCTCTTCTTCAATCTTTAGTTTTGTAAAGTAAATTTATTAGAAAACTAATTTAGGGAAATTGTATTAAACTATGTCATCCACGAACTTTTTTTTTAGTACCGGTTTTGGAAAGATTTTAGCGAGAGGTCTTCCTCTTTATCACCAGACTTTGTAAAGAGAAGAAGTGTGAGTGAATTTTTGCTAAGTTATTAGTTCGACATTTTGGAATTTCTGGGTTGGCTATTTTAGCATATCTATGCGACTACGATTCGTAGTGAAATTTTTTTTGTTAAGTTAAATTTAAGAAAAACACTTCTTCAGAAACATGGCATCTGAAACCTCAAAAGGGCTGATACCACGTTTTTGAGATAAGAGTGTCTTAGAAGAGTTTTGCATTGGTGTTTTGGCAAGATCTTCGTTTGCGGATTTTCCGGATTGGCTGTTATACTCATTTATTTTGGCACCTGTTGTAGTGTTTCATCGGATAGTTTTTTTTGGATTTATTCGTGGTTTATTTCACCCATCACGTGAAGCCGTTATAGATCGTCAGGCCTTTTATTTTTGCGTCTTATTATAAACTTTTACTAATATATATATATTTATATATATATATATCTTCGAGCAAGAGGTTTTCCGTCGTAAAGCATCGAATCCAATCTTACGTCAACCAACCATCGTCTTCGTGGAGGTTTCGACCTCGTGGTTTACATTTCCTGAGAGCAGCCATCTTAATTTCCGTTTTCTACGTCCGGTTCCTTCCGAAGAAAGAGAGAGGGATAGGAAGCTGCGCAAAGGGTCTACGCAAGTAAAACATAACCAAACATAACCTTTTGGACGTCGGACGCGTCTTGGCGGTCTTGGCGCAATTCAGGATTAGTATCTATAAGAGAAAGATTTAATTCTTCGTGTTTTTGATTTAATGATTAATTAATTAATTAATACTTTTTTTTGATTAAGAGTCTTCAACTCAATATATATATATATATATCTTTTTGTTATTATCACCGATTTAAAATTTATTAAGATAGATATTTTTCTTTTAATTTTGTTAACTTATCGCTTGGACGTTACGGGCTTGTTTACTTTTTTTGACACTTATTTTGGGTGTCCCACAATTATATTTACATCAGCTGATGATAATTTATTGTGTACTAATTTTACTTTCTTTCAGGATTTTATTATTTGTATTTTATTTTTGGTTTCTCGAGTCAAAAGCGATAAGGTTTTTGGAGATTAATTTCATATCCTTACTTTTCATTATTAAAGAACATTATTTGTATAATATTAGATATATTATTAATATAATTATTTTGATTAACAAAGTTAGTCAATTTTTGAGAACATTTCAATATAGTTATTTGAATCTATTATCTCAACATTACTTTTTTTTGTGTATGTTAGTACTTGTTTCTTTTCCTTTGACATTGGATTCGAACTTGCTGGGTCAAAGGTTTGTATTGATAGGTTTCGGTTTAAGTTCGTGGCGCCCTTATTTAGATCAGAACTCTCCCTTCTTCACTGAGTTACCGGAGCCCGATCCTATCAATTTGTGTCTTGTTTGGAATTTACGGCGCTACAAAGTATTCCCACGATTCGGGTACCCCAGGGCTATCCTTTCTGACAACGGCCCACAATTCATATCCATCGAATGGGACGGTGCACTCCGACGGTGGGGATGTCTTCAATGGACTACGCCGATATACCACCCCCAAGCCAACCCGACAGAACGACGAATACAGGACTTAAAAAAATGCCTACGTCTGCAACTACAAGGACACAATACCAATAACTGGGACAAACACCTGCAAACCGCTCTATTCAACATCCGGTCTCGAAGAAATGCCGCAACGAAACAAACACCGGCTCTTCTGCTATTGGGTTACGAGCTCCGTAAACCTGGAGAATGGTTCGCCGAAGATCCGGCACCCAACCAAGCCCCTAACGGAGAAGAAAGAAGACAAGAACGAATACGACGCGCCCATATGAACGAACATAGATACCGGCAACGATACGCAGGAGAGGTTCCTCCACGAATTCAATTCACACCCGGTGATAAAGTCATGGAACGCAGCCACAAAATACCTCTTAAGCCCTTCGCCCCACGTTGGAACGGACCTCACATCATTATCAGTGCCGCTGGAACCAACACTTATTGGGTTAGACGGTTCAACACCGCGGAAGCCACCAAGGTCCACGTGAACGATCTTCGCCCGGCACCTCCACCACGCCGGCAACAAGCCCGACAACCCGGCGCGGCCTCTTGAGGGAGGGGGTGTTACCACGCTTACCTTCCCTTCCAACACTGGGAAGGCCGTGCCGAATGGTCGGACGCACCCCATTGATCGGCATTCATGGAGCCGAGTTAAAAAGGAAGGCCGTTCGACTCAGAGGATATTATACTACAAATATCGTTTCTATATTAATCTCGTGTAGAAAAGTATTGTAAATTGTAAATAAAAAACCAAGTTAAACGTTTTTGGAATTTGACTCCACCACGTGTTTACTCTCCTCCCCCATCTCCGGTAACATTGCTGTTACCCCAACCACCGCTCGCGCGCCGGTCGGACTCAGCGCTGATTGAACCACCCCACTTCGACCAATCAAAACGTCTAGTCGCTAGAAATTTCCACTGACTTATCGCACTGACGCTATCCCATCAAACGTTGTTATCCACTGCAGAGGTAATTTTATACGATCGCATGGGACAACCGATCAACGCAAGAGTTCTCTTAGACTCGGGATCGCAATCCCATTTTATCACAGAATCGATGTGCAACAAATTAGGTTTATCCAAACACCCCGCCAATTTTTGCATCAAGGGTTTCACAGGAATCGCATCTCAAATCAATCATCGCACAAAGGTAACATTTTTCTCGAAAGCCAGTAACTTTCAATCAACAATTTCTTGTTTTATGACTCCTACAATAGCAGAACCCATTCCACAAATTTCATTTGATATAAGATCGTTACAGATACCAGAAAATTTAAATTTAGCTGACCCTTCTTTCAACATATCTAAACCTATAGATATGTTAATTGGCTCTAGCATACTGTAGGATCTAATTGAACCAGGAAAAATAAAATCTCCATCTTCATTCCCCATTTTCCAAGCCACAAAACTTGGCTGGATTGTCGTTGGTGACATTCCGTGGGAAATGGAGCCATTGGCCCATAACATATCGACATGTACCGCTTTAACATTGAACGAACAAATGGAACGTTTTTGGCAGTTAGACGATTTCAAATCTGCATCCAAACAATTAACCAATGAGGAGCAAACATGTGAAGACATATTTCAACAAACAACAAAACGCGACATAAATGGAAGGTTTGTGGCTAACATACCACTTAAAACAAAAGAATTTGATATCAGTGAGACAAAGGCGATCGCACTAAAAAGATTTTACTCATTGGAACGCAAATTAAACAAAGATAACATATTAAAATCGGAATATATAAAATTTATGAATGAGTACATACAATTACATCATATGACGAAAATCACATACAACTCAAATTTCAACAATGTGTTTCTACCCCATCATCCTGTCATTAAAAATTCGAGTACCACAACTAAACTGCGGGTCGTATTCGACGGCTCTGCAAAAACAAGCACTCATATGTGTTTGAACAACTTGCATTTAGTAGGTGCAACAGTACAGCCGGAATTGTTTGATATTTTGATCAGATTTCGCGAACATAAATATGTCATTACAGCAGACATCGAAAAGATGTATCGACAGATACTCATCAACGATAATCAAAAATGTCTTCAACAAATTCTATGGCGCGACGATTCATCCAAGGAAATTGATATTTACCAGTTAAACACGGTCACGTACGGCACTGCATCTGCCCCATTTCTGGCTACAAGATGCTTGGTGGAATTGGCAATTCAAAATCTGGTGCTGAAGATTCAGAAAAGTTAAACAAAATTTGTAACAATATCAAACAAATTTTACATTCAGCAGGTTTCGAACTGCGCAAATGGCAAAGCAATACAGCATTATCTATTGTCAATCAACAACAAAATACCCAAAATCTCATTCCAATTTGTAACGGCAGCACCAGAACATTAGGAATAAATATGTAATATGGCAGCCATCGTCTGATGTACTTCATTTTTCATTCAAAGACAATATTTTACCCAAAAGGTTAACGAAACGCTCCATTTTAAGTAATGCCGCCCAAATTTTTGATCCACTAGATCTTTTAGCGCCAATTACCATAATTCCAAAATTGATCATCCAGCAAGCATGGAAAACCAAATTAGATTGGGACGATGAAGATTGGAACTCAAAACAAGATGGATCAATTATCACGCGGATGTCACTTCCGTCCAACACATCAAAGTAAAAAGGCATTGTTTAAACTCAAATTCAATCCAATACAATCTACACGGTTTCGCAGATTGGTCAGAATCGGCGTATGGTGCGTGTATCTATATACAATCATTTGACGGGAGTTCATCAGAAATCAATTTAATCACAGCAAAATCAAGAGTCGCTCCTATAAAAACTGTTTCTCTTCCCCGTCTGGAGCTATGTGCTGCAACTCTGTTGGCACAATTAGTTGAACGTGTACGATCAATAAGTAAAATTAAATTTATGTCTGAGTATTTTTGGTCAGACTCTCAAACTACCCT